TTTTTTTTTTTTTTTTTTTTTTTTTTTTTTTTTTTTTTTTTGCGGTATGCGGGCCTCTCACTGCTGTGGTCTTTCCCGTTGCGGAGCACAGGCTCCAGACGCGCAGGCTCAGCGGCCATGGCTCACGGGCCCAGCTGCTCCGCGGCATGTGGGATCCTGCCAGACCGGGGCACGAACCCGTGTCCCCTGCATCGGCAGGTGGACTCTCAACCACTGTGCCACTAGGGACAGCGAAGCCCCAAAAAAGGATTCTTGCTATCACCTGTTTAACACGGTGTTGGGCCCTACTTCAATGACTGTCCTCAAAAGGAGAAAGATACCAGGGATGTGCATGCATAGAGAAAAGGCCATGAGAGGGCACGGAGAGAGGTTATCTGCAAGCCAAGGAGGCCTCAGTAGAAAACAAACCTGCAGACACCTTGATCTTGGACCTCCAGAACTGCAAGAAAATAAATTTGTTTTGTTTAAACCAGTCTGTGGTGTTTTGTAAGTCAGCTTTCCCGGGTTAATACATGGAGTCATGAGAAGAAAAAAAAAATTTAGAAAATTAGACAGTGAAGCGAACTTCCTTAATCTGTTGAAGGATATCTACCAAAACCCTACAACACTGATAAAATTCTGATAGTTTTCTCTTAGAATGGAAATGCGACACCTATTCAACAATGCTTTGGCATTCATAAGCAGCACAAACAGGCAAGGAGGGAACAAGTATAATAATTGGAAAGAAAAAAATAGAAATTTTCCTATTATTAAATGATATGATTTTTTACATAGAAAACCCAAAATGATTTACAAATGAATTTAATACATATGTAAATTTTGCAAGGTTGCTACATACAAGATCAATATGCAAAATTCAAGTGCATTTCTGTATAAGAGTATCAATCAGAAAATGAAACTTGTCATTTGTAATAGAACCAAAAAACAGCAAATATCTAGGAAGAAATCTCACAAAAATATGCATATTTCTCATTACAGAGAAAATCTTTAAAAGGACAAAAATACATGACAAGAATTACCACATAAAATATTAAGAAGATTGAATGTTATAATGATGTCATTCCCCCCCCCAATTAAATTTCAGTCTTTTAATGAGAAGGGATCCAGAATATTGAACTGATTCTGTGTATATAAGTCAACTCCAGCCACATATGAATGGACATACTATAGGGCATTTGGGAGCTAAAATAGAGGAATATCTTCATGATCTCTCAATTAAAATTGTTTTTAGTTAATATCTACAAAAATGCACCTGCCATGAAGGAAAATGTAAGTTTGACCATATGAAATTTTAGAGTTCCTTTTAATTAGAGGGCAGTATAAAGAGAGTGTGGGGAAATTTGAGAAAAGATATTTCCAATTTATACAACTGACAAAGGGCTACAAACATTATTACACATTTATACCCGAGCAAGATGCCTTGCCAGAGTCTTCATGCTTCAAAGGGAACTGCAGATTACAACACACACACACACAAACACACTAATACACTCATAGTTTCCTCTCAGAATGCGGTGCTCAGTGCTAAGCACCTATAACGTGAAATATCCACATGCGACTAATACCAATCAGGTTTAAAACAAATGCTTCTCTAAATAGCTAAACTTCCACCCTCTAAACAAAAGAAGTCCTGGGAAATTGTGAGTTATAATGTTGTCAAGAGGGGGCTTAGAAACCTCTAAACACTCCACCCAAAACCTGTGAGAATAAGCAAATTCAGTGAAGTTGCAAGATACAGAATCAATAGCCAAAAATTTCATGTTTCCATATACTAACAACAAACTATTCGAAAGATAAATTAAGAAAAAAATCCCATTTAAAAACACAAACAAATTGAACCAAGGAAGGGAAAGACATGTACAGTGATGAAAGAAATTGAAGATATTAATAAATAGAAAGATATTCTATGTTCATGGATTAGAAGAGTTAATATTTTAAAAATGTCTATACTACCCAAAGCAATCTACAGATTCAACACAATCTCTATCAAAATACCAATGACATTTTTCTTTTTTTTAACTTTTTAGTTGATGTATAGTTGATGTACATATTATATAAGTTAAAGGTGTACAATATAGTGATATACAATTTTTTTTCTGTCAATCCCAAACTCCCTAACTATCCCTCTGCCCCCCCTCATCCTGGTAACCAAAAGTTTGTTCTCTGAGTCTGTGAGTTTATTTCTGTTTTGTAAATAAGTTCATTTGTATCATTTTTAAATTCCACATATAAGTGATATCATATAATATTTTTCTTTCTCTGTGTGACTTACTTCACTCGGTATGACAGTCTCTAGGTCCATTAATGTTGTTGCAAATGACATTATTTCATTCTTTTTAATAGCTGAGTAATATTCCATTGTGTACATGTACCATAACTTCTTTATCCATTCCTCTGTCAATGGACATTTAGGTTGCTTCCAGGTCTTGGCTATTGTAAACAGTGCTTCAGTGAATATTGGGGTACATGTATCCTTTCAGATCATATTTTTCTCTGGATATATGCCCAAGAGTGGGATTGCAGGGTCATATGGTAGTTCTATTTTTAGTTTTTTAGGAACC